CGGGAACACAGAAGTCCCCTGCTCTTTGATGTTGCTTGTGTGGCGTTGCCACTGTGATGACGTTGTCTGCCAGACACTGTTTAACTGGTATCATCTGCTCATTATTGGTTTGAGTTGCTGCTTCAAGAAACCCCCAATAGGCTACTGCTTCCCTGAGACGATACAGCAACTGTTTAACCTAAAAGAAATATCCAAACAAATAAACAACAAAAAGAAAAAACACACTTTATAAAGGCACATAAACCCTTCTCATTTATAAAAAGCATTTGGACATTTACATACTTCTGAGCAAAGCATCAGAAATAAAACCATGCACACCACACACAGTCTACACTTTTACATTTATGTTTAGAGCAGGGGGAATAATTTCAAGATATTTTCAAACTACTGATACAGACATGTTAAAAATAGACAATATAATTCACAAAAGTAAGAACTGTCAAATGCAATTTTTCCTAAATTAAGAAAGGTAAAGTGCAGAGTGTATCTTTTAGACAAAAAAATAGAAGAACAAAAATCTCCAATATTTGCGATGTTTAACTCACCATCCCTGTCATCAGCGGTTTTTCCCCAAAAGTTTCCTGATCAAATGGCAATGGCGAACAGACAAAAATGCTAACGAAAACTAAAAAGCCTCCATTAGCACTATTCTTAAATAGAGACCTCTTAAGTAGAATAGAAGTCTTCAGTGTGAAAGCAGAATGTATGTGCCAGCTTGATGGTTGCTTATTTATTTCCAACAAAGCGTTGCTTTATTTTTGCACTGAAAAATTAATATTTACAGAGATGTACACTAGCACTGCCGTCTGTCAGAAGTACTTCTAATGTACTAGTGAAGTGAACACATATTCTACCCTTTTAACTAGTCATGTGAAAATAAAGTCTTGGCCAAATAACTTGTATACAGAAACAGAGACTCGGAGCTCAGTGTTCAGTTGTTTTAACTAGGTAACTGTTCTTGCTCTAAGTTGTGCATGACTTTATACCATTAATTATAATCCATTATTACTATTTAGAACACTAATAAGCAGTTACTTGTTTAAAAGCTCATCTGATCAAATGCTTTAGGTTAAGTTGTTTATTAGTCAGATCATTACGTAAGTGCCATTCAACAATGATGTCTCAGCAGAACTGAATTTGTCTTTAAATATCTGTCAAAATGACTTTGGCTGTTCTATGAACAAAGTGAAGCAACAGTAAATTCCCAATGGTGACCAACCATTCAGCTTCCTGTGAAAGAGGGTGGTAAACAGAGCAAAAGTCACCCAGAAAGAATTTGTCCTAAGTCAGAGAGCAATAGGTTAAGCGTGGGTAAACAATACAGCTGTTTCAGATCCAGAAGCTAAAGCTAAGGTCCAAACAACAGATCCTGGTGTGACAGCGGGGGATTAAAAAGATGAATTTCTTAAACATATTTGTTATGTATCTGCTCTCTTTCAATTCATCTAATGAAAAATTACTTTCTCTTACACTGTGAAACTGCAGCCATTTGTCCTTCAAGCAACAAGAACAAAATGAAATTTCAAACACCTAGTTCATCTTGCTCCTATGAGAGTTAGAAATCAGGTATTGAAATAAATCAATCCTGTTTATGAAAGGCTGAAGAAAGCAAGCTTTTCAAATCCTATTTCTAAAAAGCTTCAGAAAGGCAGAGGTTGTTGCCAACATACACTAGCAACTAACACGGAGTTTCGAAATGGTATTAAAAGCAAAAAAGACCCCAAAAAACTTGCAAAGCCTAAAAATGAAGTTTAACAGTTCCTCTTGCATCAGCTTCCCCTCCCACCGCTCAAATTCTGTAAACTGGAAACAAGTGTCTTAACAGCTTTTTAAAGCCTAAGGTTTTCTCATAAAGAAGGAAAAGCAACCACTTGAAGCAGCTAACCAGGAGGTCATCAAAGGAGGTTTTTTAAGCTTTTTTTCCCCTACCTATTCCTGTAGTGCACTTTGTGAGAGCAGCAGAAGTTGTGATGTTTGTGTGCAATTAATGACTAGCTATTTCATGAGGATCTCTGGCACTACCTGAGTCTCTCTAACCCAAGGTGATTACTTCTCAAACCAAGTAGAAACCATACAAATAAAGACTGAAGGAAAAGCACAACATATTTGTCTACAAATGACACAAAGATATAACCTGACAAGCTTAATTCCCTAAGAAGCCTATCTGAACCTTAGTGTTTTTCTACCTTCCTAACTCAAGAACCTGGAGAGCGTTGATGTTATAGGTGGCAAGCAGACCTGTCAAGTGGAGCTTCACTTGTGGAAAACAGACTTTGAACAGTCACATAGACTGCTTGGAGTTAACAGATTAATTTCTGCAAGGTTTATTATGTCGTTCTCCTGTCTCAAGGTGGATGAATTACTAGATTGCCACTCCCAGCTATTGTCACTAGCCCCAGAGTTTTCAGACAGTTTGTAAAAATAAGACCAAAGACACAGGATCAAGAAAAGATACTGACAATTTTGAGGCTTGTAAACCACTGCATGGACTCATTTAATTGCATATAAATTGGCATTCTGGCTGCTGATGGTTACCAGCTTATCTCCCAGACAGCGCAGCTGTAAGCTACTGTCACTAGCATAAATTTGAGTCAGGATATAATGAATGAATTATTTATTTTTTAGAATAAACACTTTTAGAGATGGGAATTGAAATTCTTTCTCTCCAAATGCTTTAGCTACTATAAAAAAATGAGGAATCCCCTTCTTTCTTGTGGTGTGTGAAATAAAGAGTCCAAGAAAAGAGACATGGAAAGAGAAATATGAAAGTAAGTGACTGCAAGTACAGTGAACAACTTACACAAGTCTCCTAAAAACATCTACAGTTATCTGACATCAAAAACGTAGTAAGACCATGCTTGGATAAAAATGTGTTTTTCAGGTTGTACACCAAGGAGAAATAATAAATGGCAGAACAAGAAGATGGAGCTGTCTTCCTGCCCCAGAAGTACTGTCAGTGCTGATGGAAGAAACTTCTAACACATAGTTCTCTATGCAGAATTCCATCTTGCTGCCCCTGGAGCAGAGAATAGTCTTCCCAGTACCATTTTTCTGTATTAAGAAGTGAGCAGCAGCAGCAATAGAGGGGCAGGGACACCCTGTGTTAGATCCTCTCGTACTTAGTGCATGAGCATAAGCCTCACCATATAGTGATGATTACATGCATGCCTCAACCATGGAAGATTGCAATGTAAGCAAGACAAAACCCAAAGCTTCATGTTGGAATATATGCTGGCCCATTTCCAAAGAGATACATTAAGAACATCCAAGCGACAATCTCCTACGGTGCAATGACCTTTGCAAGGTGCAAAAGCTAAAATGAATTAAACTATGTTCCCTTTAAACCTCAGCTGTTACACAAGGCTTCTGTTTTACAGCTTACAGATAAAAGATCTCTGCGAATTTTGAAAAACACAATTTAACTAACAGTGTTGTTTCTTAAAAGGACTTCCAACCAAATGTACGGCCTGTTCATTCCACCTGTCCTACAACTTCCTATTCATGACCACTGCATGATAAGTCTTGGCCAAAAAAAAAAAAAAAAAAGTTTAAAGAAAACAGTAAATCTGCTCATTTTACATTCACATCTTAAAATAAACTCATCTTGGTTTTTCCCTAATGAGTTAGATAGCACTAAAATAGTGCACTGCAAAGGAGAAATAAAAATCCTAAAGTTTAACTGCTATTATTATCACTTACTAGTGGAAGGTATACAAAATAACATTCTAAATATATAAAATGACACATAGACAAACTTAACATTAACGTACAAATAAGTGCTGTGTTTGAATCACAGATTTTGGTAGCCTGCTAAGCAACCCAAGTCCAGTGTTCACTCCAGCGATGCACTACAGACTTTTTTCCTAACAAAACATTTCTCCACTTCCACAAGTATATTCTAAAAGAATTCCACAAGTATATTCTAAAAGAATAAGCCAAAATGTAGTCCTTACTAAGTGTTAACAGATATTCCCACAAATAGTTTTCCTGTCCCCATTCCACATGTTTCAGCAGCTCAGGAATCCAGCCCTGGTGTTTCCCACATTTACTTAGACCATAAAGACTAGTATTCCAGTAACTGTCAGCAACAAATCAGCTCAACATAGCAGCAGTGGTCTAAACAGTCATGTAAAAGAGGCTCAAAGTTTTAACAGCTATGTTACAAATACTAGTAAAAAGATATACAACTCCTGCATAAACAGAAGCATTTCACCAGGTTTTCTTTTGTGTCGCTACAGCTATCAGAAGAACAAATATACACTGCCTTTACTGCACGCTAATGGAAACTAATGGAACAAAACTAGAGTAAAAATGCTTCCTCATCTGTTATGTCAAGAAAAAAACCCAACACATTACACATTAAATAGCTACAAAATATTTCTAAATCATGAACCACTCAGGAAGACAACTTTTGGAAATACCATTATAATAAAGCAACTACAAAACACTTTGCGACATTTACATTGTGGAATTTAACAAATAGGTAACTGTACAAGAAGCATAAGTGGTGCTCATCTGTTACATGATTCTGTACATATATATACACCCATAACAATAACAAAACAGCCCACTCCCCTGCACCCTCTCCCCGTATTGAACAGCCTACCGCAGTATTCAAACTGCGTCCATTACCAGCTTCCTCCAATTAAAATTAAGGAGTTAAAACCCGAAGATTTTAATAGCAATTTTTCAGGTAGTATCAGTGAAATGACAAAAAACTTTCAACATCTTCCTGCTAGAACTGCTATACCTAACATTTTCATTAACAGTACATTTAACAGCAAAAATGTTTGCCTCACTCCTGCTGAGGCATTTTACCTGTTTTAAAATTCCAATTCTGCAACGTGATTTATGGT